TTGCAGGCAGACTTGTGCTGGTTCTGCTGAGCATCAGTATGTCAGCTGCTATCCAAGATCGAGTTGTTTCTTGCTGTGTCTCTGTGCTCCCGGCAGGGTTTTGTCTTGGAGTGAGGCCAGCCCTGTGGCAGTGACACTTCAGAAGGAAGTGCTTGGATCAGAGCTTGTCTACGTTTGGTAGCTGGGCAAGGTGGGACCAGATCTACGTAAAAGCTTAGGCAGAGGTATTGAGTTTACCACAGGTAAACCCAGGACAGGATTGAGAGAGCAGTCCATGAAGAAGAAAGATCTGTACCTGTTCTGTCTTGTCTGACACTTCAAAATGAAAGTGTCGGTGAAGACTTTATTTGGGCCTTCAGAAATTCGGAGTTTGAGTTCTACATTGAGGACTGCATCGCGTTCTTAAACCCAGCTGCTGTTCAACCACGCACTGTGAGAAGAAAGAAACCATCTGTGACACCTGAAATTACCAGTTTTAGAATTAACCTTAACAAGGGAACAAAAAAAGACCAATTGTTTTGAGATCAGAGAACAGTAATAATGTTCACTGACTGATGGGGTGCCTTGTGAGAAGTGAAAGAGCTCAAAAAGTGTAGCAAGTCCTTGCAAATGTGCTTCTGAATTCTAATTCTTGTGTTTCACAGAGCCGATGCTGAGGGGTAGGAGAGACTATTTTGCTTGGTACAGGGTAGAGGCATCTGCAGTGAAGTGCAAATGGGATCAAACTAGGAAAAGGAGAAATTAGGCTGAGTGTCAGGCAGTCTGAACTACGAGAGTTATTTGACCGTGAAAGACCTTCACAAGGGAAATAATACAAGCCACATTATTTGGGACACCTAAAATTAGACTTCAGAAAGCACTAAAAAAAAAAATACAACCTTGCTTTAGTAGGGAGGTGGACTAGAAAAAGCAGGGCTTGGGAGTTTCCTTTTTTTTCCCCCAATAGATTTTGCAATTCTTGGGCCTGATCCTGTTCTGTGACGTGCAAGTCATGGGAAAATTTACGTTACTTTTTGCCTGAGAAAACTGAGGCTAAACATCTAGACTTCTCCCCTCCACCTACTGCCAATTTTTTAAACTGTATCTTTTTGTTGCTGTCCCCCAGGGATAGTTCCGGCCCTTCTCTTCCAGTTATAAATAGGTATGTGTAGAGGAGAAAGGACTTTAAGGACATTTTGTGGCAGTTCCCTCTTGTCTGGCTCTTAACAGACACTGGAACTGATTGATAGGATACTCCTTTTTTGGGTTTAATTCAGAATTTATTTCACTTACAATGTGCAAATCCATAACCCTGGTGTGTTCTGAAGCTCTTTTCTGAAATTGCCAACTGTATTTTAACCAGCAGTGTAACAGTGGGGGGAAAGAGGCAAATGAGCCTTTAACCAGGGAGCCTCCAAATAGCATGTGTTAGTATATTCAAAGTGTTGCCATCTCCATAATTTTCTTTAAATACAAACTGTGTGGGATAGGGGCAGTAATACAGAAGAGGTTCAGCCGATTTTATTTGTTATTCTAAGTTAGTTTGAAGATGCCTACCTTTATCTACATACAGTCCTTCTTTGCTATCAGTGTCTGCCTGTGTGAGTGACCCCACTCATAGAATCATTGAATGGTGAAGGTTGGAAGGGACCTTGAAGATCATCTAGTTCCAACCCCTCTGTTGTGGGCAGGGACACCTCTCTCCCACTAGACCAGGCTGCTCAGAGCCCCGTTCAGCCTGGCCTTGAACACCTCCAGGCATGGGGCATCCACGACTTCCTTGGGCAAACTGTTCCAGTGCTTCACCGCTCTCATGGTGAAGAATCTTTTTTCCTTATACCCAATCTAAATCTACCCTCTCGCAGTTTCAGGCCACTGCCCCTTGTCCTATCACTAGAGAGCCTTCTCCAGCTTTCCTGTAGGCTGCTTTCATGTATTGGGAGGCTGCTATTAGGTCAACCCGGAGCCTTCTCTTCTCCAAGCTGAATAACCCCAGGTCCCTCAGCCTGTCCTCATAGCAGAGGTTCTCCAGCCCTCTAATCATCTTTGTGACCCTCCTCTGGACCTGCTCCAGCAGCTCCATGTCCTTTTTGTGCTGTGGGCTCCAGAGCTGGGTGCAGCACTCCAGGTGGGGCCTCACCAGAGCAGAGCAGAGGGGGAGAATTGCCTCCCTACACCTGCTGGTCACACTCCTTTTGGTGCAGCCCAGGCAACGGTTCGCTTTTTGGGCTGGAAGTGCACACTGCCGGCTCATGTTGAGCCTCTCATCAACTAACGCACTCAAGTCCTTCTCCTCAGGGCTGATCCCAATCTGGTCTCTGCCCAGCCTGTATTTGTGCTTGAGATTGCTTTGACCCAGGTGCAGGACCTTACACACTCCTTCTTCCAAAGTGCTCTTGAACCAACAGAACATTTCTGTGGAAAACGGTTCTTTGTGTATTAGATGTGATCATTTTCATGCTGTACTGGTATAAGAACACATGAATTGGTCTGAGTTTAAAAAAGCACACCAAGGTTAGGACATTGAGCTTCTGGATTTGTGATAAGAGACATAGAAAAGCACATAGAAAGAATTTTCCAAAAGATAGTTCATTTGTAGTGGATTTTAAACAGCATAGGAGGAAAATTGTAGGGCATTTCCAATATTTCATTCAAAGTTTGTGGATTATAGCTCCTCAAAATGCATTCTTCTCCTCTGTCACTGCCAAGAGGAATCAGGACAGGGAAGTGGGATGCATGGTGAAGTGAAAACTTCCTCTGCACCAGATTTTGGGTTGTAGATGTCCACACAGTTTCTGGTGCTGGAACTTCGGCTGCATCACTTGGAGAAATGGGTGCTGGTGGGAGAGGCAGCTGGAAAAGTCATCTGATCTCATTTTAGATTGTGACTTCTAAATACCAAGAGCCAGTTCACATTTCCTTTCTCCCGCTGCTGCTCGCCTCCAGTGTACTTTACCTCCTGCTGCCGTGCACATGGTCTGCCATAGAAGCGTGGGTTGTATTTTTTTTCTAATTTGACTAAGAGCATATTTCCCAATCTAAATCCTTAATGAAGACAAAAGGCCTGTATTGCAGGGTAGGAAGATACTAACCCGAAACATATTATTAGCAGGGAAGACTCATTCTCCTTATGTCTGTGTTTTTGAATGACTTAGCTGAGGAAAAGAGATGTCTTCTGATAACAGCTTTTTGCATAGGGCAGCAATGAGGGTGGAACGGTGGCGATGCTGTGATGCCGGCTCTCTTGGAAAGCTTCATTAAGCCATGATTGAAGTGATTGTAACCAATTCTGTTAGAGATCCAGAGTGCGTTGATACAGCACTCCTGTGCATCGCAGTCTCGCAGGGGAGAAGGTAAGTGTTGCAGAGGCTCTGCATATTTATGTTTTTGACTTATCTCACGTAAAGTACTTTACAAGGTACAGCAAAAGGAAAATACCCAGATCTTATCTGGATATTGTTCGCGTACACTAGGTAGGAAGTAGACAAGGCTGCACGTATGTTTTAACTTTCCTGCTTCTCTAACAAAACGGCCAAGTATTCCCCTAAAGGCAGTAATTTGCCTCATTTCTGTCTAGTCTTCTCTCCTGGTGTTCACCAGATTTAACTGTGTCGTGCCTCCTGCTTACACAAGTGATTCTTAAATTACTTGACCAAAAGGTTTCAGACAGCTGGAAAAGGACAGAATGCCTGCTTTTAAAAAAGAAGGGAGGGACAAGGGGAATAGAGCCTGGGAGCTGTGGTCCTTTCAACTTAACATCCACTTCTAGGAAACCAGCAAAATGAGTAAAATGTTTCTAAATGCTTAGAAGAAACAGGAAAACAAATTACCATCTACAAAGATGTATAAAGAGCAAATGTGTGGAACGTAATTTCCTGCTAAGATAAAGCGTTACAGAAAGGGAAGAAATAGCAGATGTTATATTTTGCATTATTGTGGGACTTTCGACATTCTTTCACCTGACGTTGTGAAGAGTGTCAGATGGCAATCGTGACTGAGTGGACATAAAACTAGATGTAAAACCATATTCAAAGCATTCATCCAAGAGATGCTATCAAAATAAAAGAAGTTAACAAGTATGGGTTGCAAAGGACTCTCTTTGGCACTGCCTAGTGCTTTCATTTGCAGTTTTACTGATGAAATACAGGAGTTACTTCTTAACTTTGCAGATGACTTCAGACTGAGAGGGGATGCAATTGTGCTGGCGGCTGGGTTAGAGATGAAAAATCAGTGACTGTCATTCTGCAGGAGATTTAAATAACACACAAATAAAAGCATATAGCTTTTTTTGGAAGATAAGTGTCTTTTTTTGTCAATGTATTATTACTAAAGAATTGTGCAAAGTTGACATTTAAAAATGGCAGGAAAAGCACACATGACTTTAATATGTGAAATGTCTGGTCCTTATATGCTGCTCGTTGGTAATAGAAGCTTTAATTTGTAGAATTATTTCTTTATTTTTTATTCAATCATATCCTTTTTTGTTTGGTTGGTTTTTAACATTGGAGCAAGTCCAGTGAACCTTACAAAGTTCCTTTCTCTGTCCACAGAGCAGCAAACCTCTGGCTTAAAGTTAATGGAGTTTTTGTCTGAGCAGGAGTGTCTACATATGTTTGTCTGTGATTTATTTTCTGCAGAATTGCATTCCAGGGCTATGGGCTAGATTAAGGCAAGGCATAAGAGTTCAAGCTGGACAAGCTGGCATCTATGCATTTGGTATTCATGGCACATGTCCAGATCTGTGAGCTTGCTCTTTAGATGAGTGTTGTCATCAGATAACCATAATGAGGCTGTTCGTACTGTAGTTTTGGAAGCGGTGCAATATAAAAGCCTTCAGTCTGCTGAGAACTAGAAATTTGGCTGATCTTCAGCTTATGGTGTATAAACATGTTCCTCTTCTTATTTTTTTTCCTTTTTTTTTTTTTTAATCCTCACTTTCCTCTCTCCTCCCTTCCTTCCCCTCTAGGAGATAGGCTTTGGCTGTATTTTTCGTAACTGGGTGAAGCTAGAAACCTTAACGGATGCCTGTGCCACCACCACCGCCTCCTCCTCCTCCACCGCCTCCACCACCTTCTGGAGGGCCCCTTCCACCACCACCTCTGGTAAGATCGACTTTTCATCTCTGTTAGGAAAAGCTTAGCTATAGTAGTCAGCTCAGAGCCTCCAGAATTTTGGTATGGATGTTCACAGCGAGCACCTGGGGCAGGTGCTTGTTTTACTGGCCTTTGTTCTTCTCTTCATTTGAGCAGTGGTCTCCCAAGTGGGGTGAGTGAGATGATCCACTGGGGTGTGGGATGAAAGTATTAGAACGTCAATCATGCATGTGCATAAGTTATAAATAAATAAATAGAGGTGTATGCGGATGCATACGCAGAATTTTTATTACCGCAAGAAATGCAGAATCAAAAAGTTTGGAGATGATTGCACTGGAGTACCTGTGGTGAGAATTTAGCATTTGCAAATACTTCTCCAGCCACAGGGAACGCATTTTTGTATTGCTAATATGCAGGTGGTAAGTGTTAATTTCTTCATCCTCTTTCTTACAGCTGCTGTTAAGAGTCACAGTGTTCAGCTGTAGGTGTTGCTCTTTCTAGCACATGCCATCTTCCTGGAGATATGGCACAATGTGCTTTTATCTGCGTGCAGGAGCAATTACCGCTTGTAACAGATCATTACTGCGTGTGTCACGAAGGAGAACATGTGCCCTGCCAGCATGTTTGCTGTAAGAGGACGATGCTCTGAGTGGAGTTTGAGGGTATTACATTTTCATACGTTCACAATCAATTACTGTACATATGGTAAAACAGGTTTTAAGTCGTTCCTTGCGTTCTGCAGTCGTTTGTTCACAGCCCGTTGCTGCATCAAAATTCTTGGATTGTTTTTGAAACAGTGAAACCTGGCATGGTTGTCTTCAAGATATAAAATCTCTCCTGGCTTTGTTTCATATATTTTTTTGTCACTGCTGTACTTATTTGTGGTGTATGTTAGTCCCTGTAGCAAAACAGTACTGGTACTTCAAATTATTATTTATTTTTTTAAAGAACTTTATTTCTCCCTTGCATTTTCTGACATCTCTGAGTGTTTTGTTCCTGTTAGGTCTGTTGATTTTGTTTGATAACGTTCTTACATTATCTCCTTCCAGAAGGAGGTTTCCTTGCATGTTTTTCTCTGCTACTTTGCAAAATTCCCTATGAACTGTGGAGATGAAGAGGAGAAATATCAAGACAGCGTTGTGAAATAACCAGTGCTTCTTTCCTTGTATCATTGTGTTTTAGCTTCGGGCACTGCGAGCAGTGTTTTCAATTAGCAGCTCTTCTGTGTTGGTACACAACCTATAGTTAGATACTGAAATAAGTAGGCTGAATTTTGTGAGCAACTTACTTAATGCCCACAATTGCAATTAAAGTCAACAGAAGCTGCAAATGCTCTCATCCTAATAAATTTAGCTCAGTAAAAGATGCAGAGACATTTTTAGACTCCTCTAATATAAGCCGATTGTAAATAACTTGAGAAAGCTAAGAGGACCCCTAAGGACCAGTATGAACAAGTTGAGTATTTTTCTTTCCTCTCCTTTTCTGATGACTAAAGCCACTACCATGATCGGGTTTTGATATGAGAAGGCTTATACTGTAATTTCCATATTTTAGTTAGATCATTCTCTTTCAAGCATGATCTTCTGTGTCTAAGACATACAGAATTTAGGATCAGTTTTATCTGGGTGATATGATACAAATGAAACGTGTTTCTAATTAACGTCTGGTATTAAAGCCTTCCTTTCAATAAGTGTTGACACTAAAAAGAACACGTGAACCAACATAAAGAATTAGTAAAATAATGTGGCAGAACATTGTTTTTCAAAGGATTTTTCCTTGTCAAAACTGAACAAGAGAGCTAACTTTGAGAGGATCTGCAGTTCAGCAGAAGCACAGTGTAAGAGCCAGGTCTTCAGTTGGTGCCAGGTTGCAGAGTAAAATGTTATAATTGCAAAATCCATGAAAACTTGCTGCAGACCCTGTTTTGTTGTGGTTTTTTTTTACTGGGAAGCTATTTTCTAGAAATGGGCATCTGTCTTTTACAGCTGCTTAACTGCCCAGCTGTTGTTACAACTGCTAAATCTGCAGATGGAGGATGGAAGAAGTAAAAATTCTAACAGGCACATAGCTTTAAGGGAAACCCTCAAAACAAATAAGTTTTATTTGGCTAACACCTGGAAATGTTCCAAAGGAAACAGCACTGCGATTTTTATTGTGCTGATATAATTAAACCAGAGTAACATTTACATGGTAGCAATTAAAAGTCAGGTTTTAATTTCACTATTGATATGCGGGCGAGACACTAGTTTAACTTACTTGATTTGTGTTAAAAGAGAAATATGTGTGCGTAGGTTGAGGTTTTAGAATCCTGTCAATTTGCATGATGCCGTTGCATGGGCACCATAGACTCGTCTTGCTTTTATAAAGATAATAGCTGTGCTTTCCTCTTGCTTTCATTGTTAAGAGATTTTTAGCTGAAGTAGTCACCACATTATCGTTTTTTCCTGCATGTTTCCTTAGTGAATATTATGAGCCGTGATCCCAAATGAAGTCCTTACTTCATTGAAACGCTAAGTGCTGTTGGCACTTGACTCAAGGCAGAGGAAAGTTAGGTTCTTTTCTACTGTTTTAAAAGATCTGGGACTTGAAGGTATTCTGTAAGTACTCGTACTGAATTTCACTCACAAAAGTTGTTTCAAGGCAGTACTGAAGTGATTTGGAGATAGTATTTGAGACATGCTAAGAGCCACCTGTGCCCAGCAGCTGAAAAGGCACTGGCTGTTGGAGCACACTTGAAAGGAACTGAAGTGTATTTTTCAGGGGGGAATGGTAGGGTACTGCAGTAGAAGATGGCAGGTGGCTGAGTCGAAATGTAAATACAGCTAATTGAATTAATTGAGCATGTTTTCAAATGCTCACCTTCTGAGGGGCATAGATAAAGATTAGAGGGGTGAGTAGGCAGCATAAGACTGTACCCCAATATATTTTCTGGTACTGGCTTACAGAATTCAGATCTTCACTCTTTC